ACAACGTCAGATAATGAAATTTGTGCCAATTTATAATTTATGTATGCATTTATCAACACACACACACACATATATATATATATATATATATATATTAGGTAGTATTTTAAAAAAATCTAATTTACTACAAGGGTACAAAGATTTATAATCAATTAAATTATTGATTAAGAAAATAGAATAAAAATTATTAAATTAGATTCAAATTGATGTTTTAATATAAATCATAATTTTTAAATCTTGCTCAAATATTTATTGTCTTATGGCTACATGATTAGAGTTGTTAAGAGGACTCTTTGTTCGTGAACAGCTCGTGTTCGACTAGTTAAGCAAATTAGTCGAACACGAACATACTTTTTGAGCTCTAATTATAAACGAGCCGAAAACTACCGCAACCATTTGAATGGTTTCTTCTTGTGCCCTCAGATTCTCCTACTTCTTGCCATGGCCGACTCCTTCGTCCCTGAAGCAATCCACACAGCTCCAAGCCCAAATGGTTGTTTCGGGCTCTCTCCGCCGGCCAGCAGCGGCGAATCTTCTTCTGAGATCCATCGTAAACTGCGAAAGCAGCGACCTTTCTTCTGTTCTCCGCCTCTTCTACCATCTCCACAACCCCTCCACCTTTCAATGCAATACAGTCATGAAAGCTTGCTCCCTTCATCAATTCCCCGAACATTCCGTCCAAATTTTCATGCAAATGCGCCGGAAAGGCATACAGCCCGATTCATACACGTTCCAGTTTTTCTTCAAATCTTGCTCCCTTTCTTCCCTGGATAAGCTGGGTTACGCAGCTCATGGTCAATTTATCAGACTCTTCTCTGATTCTGAACACTTAGCTTCGACTTCCTTGATTCATATGTATTTAAAATTCCAGCATATTGATGAGGCAATGAAGGCCTTCGATGAAATTGTTGCTAAAGATGTTCTTCTGTGGACTACAATGGTATCAGGTTTGGAGAAAGCTGGCTTGCTTGATGATGCCCGGAAACTGTTTGACGATATGCCTGAGAAAAATGTCATCTCATGGACAGTCATGATCAAAGGATATTCCAAAGCAGGACGACCTGCGGAGGCCATGGAGATGTTTACAAAGATGCTCGGTGAAGGAATTTTATCAGACACAGTTGCATTTTTGTCAGCACTCTCGGCCTGCTCCCAAAGCCGGGATCTTGAAGCAGGAAAATGGGTTCATCAGCTCATTCAAGACAGTAAAATTGTTCTGAATGAGAATCTCATTGTGACCCTAGTTGACATGTATGCCAAATGTGGTCGCATCGACCTTGCTCGCTTTGTTTTTGATTTGATCGGTCACGACACCCTTTCGGCATGGAATGCAATCATCGACGGATACTGCAAAATGGGCAATGTTGATGAAGCTTGTTCCCTATTCAATCAAATGGAATCCCGTAATCTGATCACATTTAACTCAATGATAACAGGCTACATTCAGTGTAGCAGGCTCAAGGAAGCACTGTCCCTCTTTGCTGATCTCCTAACATCTGGTCTCCTTCCTGACAGATACACCATAGTTGGTTTGCTTTCAGTTTGTGCCGGCTTGGGTGCACTCAACAAAGGTAAGATCTTGCATGCTTACATTGAGGTTAACCTCACCGAATCCGACATCTTCATCGGGACTGCCCTGCTTGACATGTATGCAAAATGTGGGAAGATGGACCAATCGATCTTAGTTTTTGATAGAATGAAAACAAAGGATTTGATGACTTGGACTGCTATGATTTCAGGTTTAGCCATGAATGGAATGGGGAAGCCTGCGCTTGAGCAGTTTTCTTTGATGAAGAGTGAAGGCATTAACCCAAATGCTGTTGTTTACATTGGTGTCTTGAATGCTTGCAGCCACTCTGGCCTTGTAGAAGAAGGCCGCAGACATTTTAAAGAGATGTTGGTGTTGTATAATTTAGAACCGGAGATTGAGCATTATGGCTGCATGGTTGATCTGCTTGGTCGACTTGGGCTTTTAGAAGAAGCTGAGAAGCTTATAAGGAGCATGAAAATGGAACCCAGTGATGTTATCTGGGCTTCTTTATTGAGATCTTGCAGAGTATATAAGAATATGGATTTGGCTGAGAGGTCAGCAAGGGAACTCATTGCCTTGGAACCAGATAAAGATGTTGGATATGTTCAGCTTTATAATATTTACATAGATGTTGGGAGATTGAATGATGCTGCTAAAATTAGGAGATTAATGGAAGAGAGAGGAATTAAAAAGATTGCAGCTTTTAGCTCGATTACAGTCAATGGAGAGGTTCATAAGTTTATTGCCGGCGACCGGTCGCACCCTGAGGTGATGGAGATCCAGGAGACGATGGGTGAGGTCATGACGAGGCTGAAGGAATCCGGCTACTCGCCAGTCATGTCGCAGGTGGCTGTGGATGTGGATCAGGAGGAGATGGAGCAGGCTCTTTTTGGGCACAGTGAGAGGATAGCCATTGCTTTTGGGATCATGAGATTGGGAAAAGGGTTACCAATTCATATCATCAAGAACCTGAGGGTCTGTGATGATTGCCATTTGGTAATAAAGATGATTGCCAAGTTATGGGGCCGTGAAATTGTTGTTAGAGATCGTAGCCGCTTTCATCATTTTAGTGATGGGCGGTGCTCCTGCAATGACTTCTGGTGAATGGTTGATGCTAATAACTGTCTCCACCTCTACTAAAATGAATCATGTTCTGTACATCTGAATGGCATCTAGGACGAGTTGAGACTAATTGGTCGAGTTGTGAAGATCAACTATATGAAGTTGCTAGCAATATGGCTAACTTGATGCCGAGTTAGCGGAAAGCATCTATTCAAGCATACTTGGTCGTTGTTCGGAGTTAGCTCGCGTTGAGACTCCGGCTTAATATTTTTTCCATAAGGGAGAGCATAACACAATAGTAAAGTCACCTCAACTTGTCAAGATTACTTGCCCAGGCACGAGCACAATTAGCTCAACCTTTCAACTCATTCCTAGCAACTGACTTGAGCTCAGTGAGTCATGGAGTTTTCAGTAAGTTCTACTCTTCTACAGGGTAGCTAAATTTATTTTTCAAATTGTTAATATTTCTGCTGGCTCTTTGGTAGGTAGAATATGTAAGACCCCGGGTGTCCTAGGTTTGAGGCTCGCCTAGAACAACACAAGGGTGAAAAACAAACGCACTTTGCGACACATCTTACTATTTATAAGTTCAGATTGTTGTACACCATATCCATATATATATATATATATAT